TGCCTCTGACCACTGTCATTGACCAATGCTTAAGTGTGCCTCTGACCACTGTCATTGACCACTGCTTAAGTTTGCCTCTGACCACTGTCATTGACCACTGCTTAAGTGTGCCTCTGACCACTGTCATTGACCAATCCTTAAGCGTGCCTCTGACCACTGTCATTGACCCATACACTGGGAGAAGCCTGGCCTTATAATGTAACTTTGAATGAATCAGGATATTTGTTTATAGATCTATTTGTGTTGGATGTGTGTAGTGAATGACAGGTCTGCCAGCAGTTTAATGGTTGTGAATGAAGTTGTATCTGTGATATATTAATCAACAGATGCCTAAGCATTGTCTCATGTTATCAATCTGATCAGAAATTAATGTTGTGAACATAAAACAGTGGATTTGTACATTTTTTGAGTGTGGGGATTGAGGAGTGAGGAATCTCAATATAAATCAATGAACAGGATTTCCAATAGATGTTCAATGAACAGGATTTCCAATAGATGTTAAGTTTTTATAAGGAAAGAGGTTTGGAACCAAATGTACCAATTTTGTACAATTTTATTTCTAACATTCTGATGATGGTAAAAACAATGATTTATACAATTCAAACAAATAAATTGAAACAAAAATAATTCAATGTGTTGATATTATCCATTCGTTCAAATGTTTAAGAATTACATTACTGGTATAATAATATTCAATTATAGCCTTTGGCTGAGGTCGATACCTGGATTTATCGACCAAGGAAGATATATTGACCGAGGACACAAAAAAAAAACACAACAAAAAAGCTACAGAAGGGGGACGGTGCAGTGGTATGGAGACGGGTCATAATTCTATTTTTAGAAACACCCAGTCCTTCAACAAAAAATGTGCACTCCAAGTCATTATTGGTTTTCATCGTTGGACACGTGATGCATTTCTGGCCAATTACTTATTGGGAATAATATGAAAAAAATAATAAGTTTTATCAATGACATACAAAAAATGTATTGGTTCCTTAAACAGTCATAGGATGAAGAGTAATAGAATCTATAACTCCTGTCTGAAATCTCAATTAGAGGGTAAGAGTTTTGAGGTTCAGTATAACACTTGGATGAGTGTTAAACCTGATTTATTTTTCATCTGGAGGATTGAGATTTCTGTCTAGATCACACAGAAGTTATTATTATATTACTCTAACACTTCCCTACCATAAAAAAACACATACATGTACTGCCAAATTGTGATGATGAACCAGTGCACCTTGCCATCATCAGTTCCATATGGAGTGTGTGACAAAATTGAGGTCCTGTTGTGTCATGGTTACACTGCATAGAATAATACCATTTGATGACATGAGCCCTTTTGTTTAGTGGTGAGAGATTTCTTCAGAATAAAGGCTTGTATGTATTGTGTTTAACATGATAAATCCCCAGCAAAACCTGGAATGCATCAGTTAATTGTGGGGAAAAATATACACAAAGTGAACACCAGAATGATGAAAGGTGTAAGAACCCTATATACAAGTCTTAAATTACACAGAATAACTACATGTACTTCAATTAATTTTTTCTTGATTATAAGTGTACAGCGGTCTACAGACTAAAATGTTCTAAGAACAATTGGGCACTTCCTGTATCTACTGAAAGAGGATTGGCCCCTTAATAGTAAATGGACAAACATGACCATACATAATTTTCTTTACCAGTACTAGGGGGTGGGGTATCATACACAATTTGGTTTTTTTAGTAACTTGTCATATGTTGCATGCGATGTCGCCTGAATAATGGGTAAAACACAAGATAATAAATTGTAAAATCCCTTTTTAATACAAAATATGTAACTGTCTTTCATAAATATAACATAACACAGAATACAAAAAAAAAATGTTATTTTATAGCATACTGGGCCTAACACCAAATGGTACGACTTTATACATCATCACTTTTAATTTATCATACATCAAATATCAAATGGTATTAATTTATCATACATTAAATATCAAATGGTATTAATTTATCATACATTAAATATCAAATGGTATTAATTTATCATACATTAAATATCAAATGGTATTAATTTATCATACATTAAATATCAAATGGTATTAATTTATCATACATTCAATATCAAATGGTATTAATCACCAACAATCTAGAATGTGAAACAAAAATCCACAAATGGAAAAGTTCACATCAATTACTGTAGCAGTATGAATTATTCAAATGACTTCTATCATACATCACAGTCATACATTTCACAAGCTTTAACTTCATTCTTTGATTTCCCATTTTAAGCACAGACTAGTACACTGATAAAGATCACAGCCAAAAACATCTTGAAAGATCTCTACTGGCCAAAAATGGAGACAAGATCACAAATGGTTGTTAGGGAGACTTTCTAAGTTCTCCGAGATAGAATTGGTAGTTCCTTTTTGAATGACAGTTCACTAGATCCTGAATGACAAATGCTTGTTTGAGAGATCTTAATTGGCAGGTTCATCTCCAAATGATTGGCAGGTCAGGGAGATCTTAAATTTCACAAACAATTTGCCAACGGTTCATCCTGAGATCTAAAAGTTCACAAACAACTTGTTCTAAGTTCTCGCAATTCATAAACGATTTGAAGGGAGATCTGTACACTTCACAAATGCATCTCGTACCGACTGTGCAGAGTCAAGACATCCATCAAGATTTGAGTGAGAGAACGCGTCACCAGCCAGTATGATAGGGGGATTCTGGGACAAGACGATACAGCCCGGCTCATCAGCGTAACTCTTATGTACCTGGAACAGGGATGGAATAAACCATTGTATCAACCACAACAATAATAACAAGAGATCCCAGAAGGATCTTGGCGCCCACCATTGTACCATCTTCAGTAGTTCTTTGTTAGTTTGATCTTTTCTCTTCTTTCCTCTAATCTGTTTGATCGAGTCATGTTAACAGTAAATGCACCTCGAGGTAACTTTTGATCTAAACTTTATACTGATGTGTATATAAAAGCCAACCTTCAAAGTGAGTTTATCATTTCACATATATACCAGTACAGTATTTAATGTGAAAGAAATAGAACTGATCATTGCAATATGAGAAAGATCTGTTAAGTTCTTCTTTCGGTCATTTTGTTTTTATGATCAGTCTAAAAATAAAAAATGCGCAGCTAAAAATTAAGAGGAACATACATATCGAATTTGTGAAAGACCCCTCAAGTTCTTCCTGAGAAATAGCGCTAACAAACCTTCAATGTCAAAAAGCAAAGATGGCCACCTGTCTGCCATTTTGTGTATCTGATCAGTCTCAAAAGTAAACATGAACAATAAAGGACCATGGGGAACCTGCATAAAAAATTTGAGAAATTACCCTCCAGTACTTCAAGGGAAATAGCACTAACAAACCTAACTATCAAAATCAGCGATTTGTTTATTCGATCAGTCTCATAAGAAAACATGCACAACGACAGACTAAGGGGAACCTACATGTCAAATTTGAGAAAGATCTCTCCTGTCCTTATTGAGAAATAGCGATTACAAACATTCACTGTCAAAATTCAAGATGGCTGCCTGTCGGCTATTTTGTATATCTGATCATTCTCAAAGAAAAACATGAACAATAAAAGACCATGTGGAACCTACATATAAAATTTAAGAAAGAACCCTCTAGTACTTCCTGGGACGTAGCACTAAAAAAACATAACTGTCAAAATCCAAGACGGCTGCCTGTCGGCCATATTATTTTCCTTATCAGTCTCAAAAGAATACATGAACAACAACTGCAGACCAAGGGAAACCTACATGTCAAAATTGAGAAAGATCCCTCCAGTACTTATTGAGAAATGGCAATCACAAACCTTCACTGTCAAAATACCAGATGCCTGCCTGCCAACCATTTTGTTTATCTGATCAGTCTCAAAAGTAAACATGCACAACAAGGGACCAAGGAAAACGTACATATAAAATTTGAGAAAGAATTGTTTCAGGAGGGACAGATCACAGATGCAGGGTGATTTGAATTCACCATCTGATGATGGTGGACTAATAAATTGATTAAATCCTATTGAAATATATTTGAGACAATGAGTCTACTTCAATAAATGTACTGGGTAACATCTTATTAGCACACTTTTAAAGCAATAAAGCACGAACAATTTACCTGAGAATATCTCCACTTGTGACCTTTGACCTCAGCAGGCTCTGGAAGATCAGGGAGTAGCTCCTTCACATGTTTCATTATAATATCCTTCACGGCCTCCTTGTCCTCCTCCAGGTGATTCATCCCGAAGCGTACAGAGGTGTGGATTACAGCAGAAGGACCAACACTGTCGCTGTCTGTGGGTAACAACAGAAACATTACCATCGCTAACCTTCTAATTATATTGTATAATGAAATCCTGATTAACTTATAAAGTGTGTTGTCGATATCTAAATTACCATTTTTCAGTAATATTTGGCAATATCAGCTAACTAGAGACCAGAGATGACAGACACCTTGTTATTTCAATAGATTTGAAATTGATGATCTAGATAGAGCTCCATGTGTTTTGTTCAAAATAAACAGACTCTAGTATACATGGATCAATATGAATGTTATTCCTTGGTTCTGATTTCATTTTTTTCTCCAGATTTGCATTATACTAGGAACTTTATAACCTAACTGCTGTGGAATACACTTCATTTGGACAAATTCAGGCCTAATGCATCTGATGTTGTTTAAACTGTTTCCCATCTTGATCTGATATTTGTTCAAATTTACTCAATGTGGTATGGATGTGCTCACTGGGTCGCCGTAGCCTGAGGTAAAAAACTGGGGCACCACCCTATCATGTATAGTGATTTTCAGGTCCTGAAGTGCTCTTGTCATTTGTCATATTAGCACAGGAATTTTTCCTCATTTTCTTATTCCAAAAACTTAATAAACAGACCATTCAATGGTTTTCTCATTAAATATCATATAGCAGTATGTCACTATTTTAGCAGAATACTTGTGCTGGCACACTTGTGAAAATATTGAAGTGTTCTGTCACCCGTGAAATAGAAATGGTATTTAATACAGGGAAAATTACAATGAGGGAATGAAGCCCAGATTTACAAGGTCTTAACTTTTGTGATTTTGTGGAGGAAGCCAATTGAATGCTGTAAATGTGTTTTGTGCTTAATTAATTAAATACTTACCTTTCCCTCTTTTCTTGTTATCGATTGCTATGTAACACACACATGGGTTGTCTCTGAAGTACTTCACTGCCCATGGGTACGACAGTGTTACACCTGGATTATAAAAAAGTCCCACAGCAAACCGCATGGAGTAGGATACATTCTCCAGATTTTCTTTGACTTTAGGTTGTGAATCTGGAAAGAAAAGAAATATAAAAACTGATATATTGTGCCAATTTTTTAAAATATCTTTTGAATTTGTATTTATTAACCATTCCTTGATTGTTCTCATACTGTAAGTCTTGTATATGTTCATATGACATACGATGTACTAGTGCATATTGATATTCCATACAACAAGTGTTAAATGTTTATGTTCCTTACAAGGATATCAGAAAAAAAGAACACAAGTTATAGCCCAGAATGGGTGGGGTGGGGGTTTAACTGCTTGCACCCACCCATTCCTAGGACACCCCACAGATTCCTAGGACATCCCACCCATTCCTAGGACACCCCACCCCTTCCTAGGACACCCCACCCATTCCTAGGACATCCCATCCATTCCTAGGACACCCCAACCATTCCTAGGACACCCCATCCATTTCTAGAACACCCACCCATTCTTAGGACACCCCACCCATTCCTAGGACACTCCATCCATTCCTAGGACACCCCACCCATTCCTAGGACATCCCACCCATTCCTAGGACACCCCACCCATTCCTAGGACATCCCACCCATTCTTAGGACACCCCATACATTCCTAGGACACCTCACCCATTCCTAGGACACCCCACCCATTCCTAGGACACCCCATCCATTCCTAGGACACCCCACCCATTCCTAGGACACCCCATCCATTCCTAGGACACCCCACCCATTCCTAGGACACCCCACCCATTTTTAGGATACCCCACCCATTCCTAGGACACCCCATCCATTCCCAGGACACCCCCATCCATTCCTAGGACACCCCACCCATTTCTAGGACATCCCACCCATTCTTAGGACACCCCACCCATTCTTAGGACATTAAAGTGGGAAGCTTCTTTGTGAGCAGCAGCAATCATAGCATAATATTCTCAATGAAGTTCCTGGTATAACATTACAAACATTTCCTTATTTTGGGCTCTACCTCTCAGCACCAAGGGGGACGACCCATTCCTTGATATATCATCTCTGATTCCATAGCTGTTCCCAAACTGGCTTCATGAAACAAATTGATTGAAAGATTTGTCATTAGGACGTAGGGACTAAGCATATGGTGCCTTGATTATGACTTGTGTATGAATACCCAAAGGTTGGGCCAAACTCTGGGGTAAAAGTGATCCTGCTATCTGTATAGCCTTGTGATTGCAACAAGAGGCCCAGGGGCCTTAATAGCTCACCTGGTATTTTATTTTTCAATTTAAAACCTGCTGAGTACCATTCAGGTTTATCAAAGGAGTACAAGAAACAAAGTTGCAAGAAGAATTACATATAATTCTGTTTTGGTGGGAAAGACACCAAGAAAATGAGTTTCCATGTTATGTCCCAATTTTCCTCTATTTCCCCTATTGGGCCTCACATGCATCTTTTTATACAAATTAAACAAATTGATTTTCCCCCCTAAGCATGCTTCAGACCACATTTGGTTTAAATCCCTTCATTTATACAGAAGGTAAAATAATTTTCTCTATTTCCCCTATTTGGCCCTGCTCCTCTGCCTGGTTGGGGGGCACATATTCCATTTATAAATATTCAATTCCCTTTGCCCAAAGATTCTCTAGAACAAGTTTGGTTAGGTTAAAATCCCTTCAACGGTACAGAAGGAGAAGGATCTTTAATGTTTTCCTCTATTTCCCCTAATGGGCCCCACTAATCTGCCCCAAAGAAGGGGAATCCACACACCTCAGTTTAAACAAAATTGATTCTTTTCTCCCTAAGCATGCTTCAGACTGCATTTGGTTTAAATCCCTTCACTTGTATAGTAGGAGAAAAAAAATCCTCTATTTCCCCTATTGGGCCCCGCTCCTATGCCGCCAGAAGGCCCACACCCTCCGTTTATACAAACTTGAGTCTCCTTTGTCCAAAGATGCTCTAGGACAAATTTGGTCAAAATCCTTCAATTGGTTGAGGAGAAGATTTTTAAAGATTTACCTATTTTCCCCTATTTGGCCCCGTCCCTCTGCCCCCAGGGGGACCATACCCTCCGTTCATACAAAACTGAGAACCCTTTGGCCAATGATGCTCCAGACCAAATTTGGTCAAAATCCCTTCATCGGTACAAAAGGAGAAGGATATTTGATGTTTTCCTCTATTTCCCCTAATGGGCCCCACCCATCTGCCCTTAGAAGGAGGCCCACACACCTCAGTTTATACAAAATTGATTCTTTTGTCCCTAATCATGCTTCAGACTGCATTTGGTTAAAATCCCTTCACTTGTATAGCAGGAGAAAAAAAATCCTCTATTTCCCCTATTGGGCCCCGCCCCTCTGCCCCCAGAGGGGCCACACCCTCCGTTTATACAAACTTGAGTCTCCTTTGTCCAAAGATGCTCTAGGACAAATTTGGTCAAAATCCTTCTATTTGTTGAGAAGAAGAAGATTTTTAAAGATTTACCTATTTTCCCCCTATTTGGCCCCGCCCCTCTGCCCCCAGGGGGACCATACCCTCCGTTTATACAAATCTGAGAACCCTTTGGCAAATGATGCACCAGACCAAATTTGGTCAAAATCCTCTGAGCCGTTCAGTACTTCCAGGTAGTAGCGTTTTAAAGGAAAAAGTTGCCGGACGCCGGACGCTGTGGCATGGGATAAGCTCACCTGGCCCTTTGGGACACAATTCTCAAAACCAAATTTAATCAAATTAGCCATTATAGCGAAAACTGAACAGTCGGACGACAACTGTTGTTTCATTGACCTATGAAAAGTTAATGAAAATCTGCTAAATAGTAGATACTGACTGATGAGATTTCTGATGGAGCCGTCCAGCTGTAGTATCTGTGGAACTGGCATGGTCAGTAGGACTCCATCACAAACTTCTTCGTTTCCTTTCAAGGTTGTCAATTTGACTTTTGCATCCTCTATGTCAACCTTTGCAACCTGTTCGTCAAATCCTACCTCAGCACCTGATATTAACAGAAGAGAAAACCTGAACAAAAAAATTGTGACATAACTGTTCCCTAGGACAACCCATTACATACATTTCAGCAACTCACATTACATGCTATTCCATATGATCTGTGTGACTATTTTACAAACTATACATCCATATACAGTATACCGTTATTACAGTGGAGTCCTACATTGTGTATCGGACTGACCTCTATGTTTGTACCATACTATTGAAACTAAAGGAAAAGCTTGGCCAGGGTTTTGATATACATTGTTCTGCCACTTACCACTATCGGAATGTATTTAACAAAATAGTGTCTTATAATAGCTGCTAGAGGAAGTATTGGACCAGAGGGATGCTATCCTCCTCTATACAACCATAGACAGTACCACATATAGCTGTGAGTTAGAGGAAGCATTGGACCAGAGGGATGCTATCCTCCCCTATTCAAACATAGACAGTACCACATATAGCTGTGAGTTAGAGGAAGCATTGGACCAGAGGGATTCTATCCTCCTCTATACAAACATAGAAAGTACCACATATAGCTGTGAGTTAGAGGAAGCATTGGACCAGAGGGATTCTATCCTCCTCTATACAAACATAGACAGTACCAAATATAGCTGTGTGTTAGAGGAAGTATTGGTCCAGAGGGATGCTATCCTCCTCTATCCAAACATAGACAGTACCACATATAGCTGTGAGTTAGAGGAAGGATTGGACCAGAGGGATGCTATCCTCCTTTATACAAACATAGACAGTACCACATAGAGCTGTGTGTTAGAGGAAGTATTGGTCCAGAGGGATGCTATCCTCCTCTATACAAACATAGAAAGTACCACATATAGCTGTGAGTTGGAGGAAGTATTGGACCAGAGGGATGATATCCTCCCCTATACAAACATAGACAGTACCACATAGAGCTGTGTGTTAGAGGAAGTATTGGTCCAGAGGGATGCTATCCTCCTCTATACAACCATAGACAGTACCACATATAGCTGTGAGTTAGAGGAAGTCTTGGACCAGAGAGATGCTATCCTCCTCTATACAAACATAGAAAGTACCACATATAGCTGTGAGTTAGAGGAAGCATTGGACCAGAGGGATGCTATCCTCCTTTATACAAACATAGACAGTACCACATAAAGCTGTGAGTTAGAGGAAGAATTGGACCAGAGGGATGCTATCCTCCCCTATACAAACATAGACAGTACCACATAAAGCTGTGAGTTAGAGGAAGAATTGGACCAGAGGGATGCTATCCTCCTTTATACAAACATAGACAGTACCACATATAGCTGTGAGTTAGAGGAAGTATTTGACCAGAGTGATGCTATCCTCCTCTATACAAGCATAGACAGTACACCACATATACCTGTGTGTTAGAAGAAGTATTGGACCAGAGGGATGCTATCCTACACATGTACCTGACTGCTCGACGAAGTATTTGACCACAGAACTGATGCCATCAGGAGCGACGTACTGTGCGATGTCATCCCCACCAAACTTATCGCCTTCTATTACACAGGTAGATGGCTGCAGTAGTCCCTTGGATATCAGCTCCTGATGTATACTACAATAAACAACATTGTAGGTCTGATACAATGTATATACTGGGCCTAATATACAGATGAAGTGACATGGTAGGATCATGATAAAATCTGCAGCACAACATTGGTTCCACCATATGATTATAATGTATAATGAATTAGAATACATCTAACTTGATATATCTTTGTTTGACCTCAGCTTGCTCTTGAAACAATGTGTGACTTGAGACCTTCCTTTGTCAGACCTTGGTGTACTGTTGGTTATAGGTGTGACTAGTGACCTACCTTTGGTTAACATTGGTGTACTGTTGGTTATAGGTATGACTTGTGACCTTCCTTTGGTTAACCTTGGTGTACTGATGGTTATAGATGTGACTTGTGAACTACCTTTGGTTAACCTTGGTGTACTGATGGTTATAGATGTGACTTCTGACCTTACTTTGGTTAACCTTGGTGTACTGATGGTTATAGATGTGACTTGTGCCCTACCTTTGGTTAACCTTGGTGTACTGATGGTTATAGATGTGACTTGTGAACTACCTTTGGTTAACCTAGGTGTACTGTTGGTTATAGGAGTGACTAGTGACCTACCTTTGGTTAACATTGGTGTACTGTTGGTTAAAGATGTGACTTGTGATCTACCTTTGGTGGACCTTGGTGTACTTTTGGTTATAGGTGTGCCTTCTGACCTTCCTTTGGTTAACCTTGGTGTACTGATGGTTATAGATGTGACTTGTGCCCTACCTTTGGTTAACCTTGGTGTACTGTTGGTTATAGATGTGACTTCTGACCTTACTTTGTCAGACCTTGGTGTACTGTTGGTTATAGATGTGACTTGTGATCTACCTTTGGTGGACCTTGGTGTACTGTTGGTTATAAGTGTGACTTGTGACCTTACTTTGGTTAACCTTGGTGTACTGTTGGTTATAAGTGTGACATCTGACCTTACTTTGTTGTACCTTGGTGTACTGTTGGTTATAGATGTGACTTGTGACCTTACTTTGTCAGACCATGGTGTACTGTTGGTTATAGATGTGACTTATGACCTACCTTTGGTGGACCTTGTTGTACTTTTGGTTATAGGTGTGCATTGTGACCTACCTTTTGTGGAGCTTGGCGTAGTGGAGGTTGATGGAGATGTACTGGGCACCCAGATCAACAGTGGCACTTTTTCCCTTTGAGCAGCGGCTTGTTGACATCCGTCCACCTGAACGGGTTAATAGAAACAATGATAAACAATGAAAGGTTTCTCTTTCATTTGTGATTGGAATCTCAATATTGATGTTGATATCTGTTAAACATAGGTTTGATTCCCAGTCTAGCCATGCATTTTCTCTCCTGTTACAGTAGTACCTGTGGTCAACTCTAATTGTTTCAAGTACTGGGTGTAGGGTGTACACTTGGCAACAAAGATTGTATATAGTTCTTTCTCCCCTACTAGACAGAGCTCTCTGCCCATTTCCAGTCTGGGAAGATTATTCTGTCTAGACCTAGGTTAAAGACAATGGAATTCCCAGTTATAACAATTGTATAATACATAATGTCACGTCTATGATGCACTGATGTCATGTCAACAACAGCAAATCAAGGAATATAACTTAATGAATTTTCTGAAAACTGTGCAATCATCATAGGTTTGTGTTGCATGAAATCACCACTTCTTTTTGAGGTGGGAGAAAAATAATACTTCTCCTCTTCCGAGTAACTATAAACAGAACAATCTATATGTGATAAACATGTATATATCTCTGCTCAGGGTAATATTCTTATGTCTGGCCCTCAGGAAATCCTCGAACTACATGTTAAAGAGTCTTACCCCTTGGGATGAGATGTTCTTGTCATACCCCCAATGTGGGGAGATCGAGATTCTTTTATTTTTTGAAGGTAAAGACTTGGACCCCGACTTAGAAAAGAAAGGACAAATGTAACGAGACTGGACTGGGTAGATTGCTGGCGACCAGGTTGTGTGTCCATTTACATATATATATAGATTAGATGTCACGTGTCTGGCCATGCATTTGACCTCTGCTATCAAAATTATGCCAATAAAATAAAGACAAACAGTACCAGACTAGACTGGATCGATCGCTGTTAACCAGGTCGTGTGTCCATTTACATATATACATATATATATATATATATAGTATAGAGGTCCTGGGTCTGGTCATGCATTTGACCTCTGCTATTAAAATTATGCAAAAAAAATACAGACAAACAGTACCAGACTGGACTGGGTCGATCGCTGGGGACCAGGTCGTGTGTCTGTTCATAAATAAATATAGTTAACAGCTAGGTCCCAGTTCTGGCCATGCATTTTACCTCATAGTTTAGAGGTCCCGGGTCTGGCTATGCATTTTACCTCTGCTACTACAACAGTTACTGTTACAGTGTTGCCTGTGACCAGAGACGTATATAACACATGTGTTATATACGTCTCTGCTGTGACCAACCCTTGTGTTAAACATTTGGTGTATGCTACAGTTTTTTTTTTTTTAAATGGACTGTACCTGTTCCCCTCGACTTGTCAAGAATCTTGACAACGGCACCCTCGGGTAAAATTTTCCGCAACAAAGCAGCAGATGAAGCCCCTGTCATCCCTGCTCCAACTATTACCAGCTTTTCCATTGCAGTTTTTATCATTATGATAACCTGCCCCGAGTCTAAAAGTCACGTGGGGAGAAACGAGGTCTTATGCAAGTTTCAAGGTGTTGTTACCCTGGGCGCTGACATATTGGGTAATGTAAACAAGGAGCCGGGCCGTGAGACATAAATCCGGAACTATCAGCAGCCTAAACTTTGTTTCTGGTTTACACATCAACAAATTGAACCAAAAAGGACCTGTTACAGGAACAAAAGAATTTTGCCCACAAAGCAATTTAACCATTACTGGGTTATATTTGTGGCTCCCTAAGACACGACCCATGAGATATTTTTGAAAAATTAAAAAGGTCCCCAGGGCATGTGCTATGAACTATTTAGTGCCGCCTTCCAAAGGTGTACGACAGGGTTCACTTTTTTGTCCAAGAAACTATCGAAACAATGTTTTACGCTATCAAATAATATTATATTATTTAAAGTACGATCTGCTGCAAATTATGAACTCAAATACGTTACAAAAAATTGCATAATAAAAAAATATAAAATCTTAAACTCTAAATATGTTGGTATTTTCATACACTTTTTTGCTACATCAACTGCTTTACGGAAGCAAAACACCAATTTTGGGTTCTTGTACACCAAAAATCTTTTAATATTATTTGGTGCATTATGTTGAGATACGATAGTGAAAATTTCAGAAAATTTGAGAACCGGTAAATTTGTCATATAAATGTTAAGTTGTAGCAACGTCTATTTCCAAATAAAATCCAACAACCTTATGATCTATAGTCATGTTTGATCATTTAACAATATGTCGCACCAATTTATCATCGCAACTGATCAAATTTTTATCAATTAAATCTGCTGCTCATGATGAGCCCAAATATAAAGCTAGATGTTACAAAATAGAAAAGTTATGCGGCTCACACGCATACAAGTTAAGTATGTTATGTACATTTTTAGTTGTTTCGCATCTTTATGGAAGTGATAGACATATTTCCGATTTTTGTACACCAACATACTTTGGATATTATTTGGCACATTATGTTGACCGACGATAGTAGAAATTTCGAAAAAATCGGTATGCGGTAAATGTGTCATTTTAAGGATAATATGTGTATGACCAATGTCAAAATAAATCTTTAATAACTTCAGGTTAACGCAAGTATTTCATAATTATATACTTTCATGGTGGATGATATGGTTCATAGTAGAGTATGACAGTTTAACTTAACTAGGTAGTTAAAGGGGGGAATACAGCAAAAGT